TTGATCTCTAACAGTATGGTACTTTGAATTCTCCTTTGGACCAATTGTAACACTTGACTGATTCCTTCATCAAGTACTGAATCACATATCTTTGCTATGTGTTCATTTTATATTTTTATGAGAGTCATGATTATATCTTCTTCTAAAATTTATCCTTCAGTAAAATAAATACAAAATGATCAATACACAGTCCCAGAGAGCTCACAATATAGTAAAGGAGATAAATATATTCACAGCCAACTAGAATGAGATTTACTATTGCAACAAAGCTATGAACAACATATAAGAAGTAAAATAAAACCATTTTCCATCTGGAAGGTTTAGGAAAGCCTTACATCTTAAGTTACAATTATATAATAAAGCAGAGAGGGGTCAAAAAACTAGGGCCAATCCAGCCCGCTCTGTTTTTGTGCAGCCCATGAGCTAGAAGTAATTCTCTCATTTTTAAATGTTTGGTGGAAAAATTCAAAAGAAGTGTGATTTCTAATGATACGTGAAAATTACATGACATTCAGATACCAGTGTCCACGGTAACGTACTGGAGCACAGCCGCACTCATGTATGTATTAGCCGTGGCTGCTCTCCATGACAAGGCAGTGCCCAGCAGCTGCAGGAGACCGCACAGCGCTCTTCCTCGCACCACGGACTGCAGGACCGAGGTGGAAACACAACAGCACCGCAAGGCCCACAGGCAGCACCGTGCCACATTTTAAAACGACCCACTCATACAGGCCATGTAAACACAAGCAAAGAAGTGACAACTGAGTTTGAATGTCATGCTTTACGGTGCACAAGAGTATGGGTTTTGTTATCCAATTAGGTGGCAAACACTGTGTTCACTATGCAGTGACACATAACTTGCCCTGAAAGAACAACATGTGCGTCAATAGTACCAGACTCTCTGCACTCAACAGTATTCTCAACTCACGGGGAGGCGATAATCTGAAAAATGCAAAAACTCTAAAAGATTTTATCATCACATAGAATTTCTTCATGAAAATAGAAACAAGGCTGCATCCAAAGTAAATTTCCAGGAAGCTGATTCGTTAGCCAAGCACGGCAAGTCATTTACCATTCACCAACCATGAGTCAGTCACTCAAGTTGTATTTGACTTAAGCAGCCAAAGAAATGCATCCAGAGAAAACAAACTGTTAAGCCTATTAGCCTTTTGGTGAAAACAGTTGCTTGAAGAGTCGAGGTTCTTGGGAGCAAAATCAATAGTAAATTTAAAAACAAGGCAAGTGATTTTAGTTGGCTTTCCATGACTTGTGAGGAATCAACAAACATAACCAATTTTGCTCAGTTGTTAAGTCAATGTGGAGTTTCAAGGGGCTCAAGAATTAGCTCCAGTGAAAAGTCTGCAGGGGGCAACCACGTTAATGATATTCTCAGCAAACACTGATTCAGTACAACCTGAAGTGGAATCCACTCTAATACATTATGGCTGATTTGGGAAAAAAAAAAAAAAAAAAAAAAAAACACCTGTGGAGCAGAAAATGGCTTGGATGTCCTTACAACCTCCGTTACAGAACACTAAACAGCTTTTATAATTGGTTTTTGCTGCTTAATTGGTGCAATTTCTTTTTTTCCAAGCATAGTTGGTGTCCTATAGTACATTAGGGGGGTGCCGGAGTCAGAGTGGGTACAGCTGCAGGTTGGAAGGAGGGGGCAGGGGGCTTGGGCGTTGCACCAGCCTGAGGACAACAAGACAGCAGGCCAGGGGGCCACAGGCTGCTCTTCACCCTACAAGTGTCTGCACCCAGGGTGCTGGCAGAGGCTTTTGGAGGTGGTGGAGGCTGTCAGTGTCTGCCTCCAGATACAGCTGGGGTTGGCAGGGCAGGACCATGCAGAAGCCCCCACCCCAGGGGTCTTAAGCCAATAGTAGACATGCATGGAAAGTAGGGCAGTACCACTCAGGGTCTGGGGAAGGCCACTTGGGCAAGGGGTGGAGTTGGTGGTAGCAGTGGCTATAGAGAGGAGCAAGGAACAGTGTGATGGTGAGAGGCCAGGGCCCCGGGGGGAGGGGACCTGGGCCTTTGGGCAGCTCCTCTGAGCCCCAACATGGTGGAGCATCACTCCCAAGTCCAGGCCCACTGGGACAGCTCCTTGGTTGTAATGTCTTCTCAGCAGTGGCAGCTTATGGGATCCCGGAAGCCCATCCTTGCCCACATCTTGTCCTTCTGGTGCAGGAAGTCTACACCAGACTATGCTAATCTTTGCCCAGGACCCACATAAAAGTCATACATTTGGCGTCCTTCAGGTCCTCCTCTATCATTTGCAAGGTGCCTAACCACAGAGCTAAAATCTGGACACGGGGAATGTCTGGAGAGGAATTCCTGAAGATAACTGTGCTCCAGAAGGCTGCGGAAGACCTGGAGCTCCTGGTTCTGGCAGGAACATCACTTGCCCCCACCATGACACCTCCAGTCCCACAACTTCACCTATAGCAAAACCCCATAGGCAGGGTCTTGGGCTTCACTCACAAGGGGTGGGAATGGGTAGGATGGAGCCAGGATGACCTGAGCTCAGGGATTACCTACCCTAGAGCATGGTGGTGCTATTTGTTAATGAATTTTACCTGAAATTACAAGGCAAGACATAGCTTCTATGAGAAACTTACACTGGGATAATACTGTCAGAATCATAAGTAATCATGAGCTGCTATACATATTTCCCAATTACCAAACATTAAAACAAGAAGGAGATCTCTATCCTGGTATAAATTGGCAATGAATATATTTTCTATTCTCCAAGCACAGTTCCAGCAGAATTTTTCAGCTCACAATACCAATGCCAAGAAAATTTCCATATTGCAAAATCCACTTAGCTGTGTAACTGAGGAGCTTCCTTCCATCTAACCTTCATCTAAGTTGGTTTGCAATGCTATGTATGATACAAGGCAAATATTAAAAGAAAAACCTAATAGAATTCTGAAAATGCCTTGTAAGCAATGAATATACTCAATTAAAATCATATGCTCGTGAATTGATGTCAGTATCTGGTAGTACATATCTGAGAGAAAAGGCATTTTCAAAAATGAAATATGCAAAATCTCAATACAGATCAGCACTGAGAGATGAACATTTGCATTCAATTTTGATATGAAACACTTTTAACTGATTACATAAAATGCTACTTTCCAAAAAAAAAAATATTTCATTGTTCTTATTACAAGACCTGAATTGCATAAAGTGGTGATAGATTAAATGGGTACTTTGAACTTAGGTGGGAAACTATACCACAGGGGAGTCACCCCCAACATCTCAGTGAATATAAACTCCGTTCTGCAGGTTGCTCAAGTCAAAAAGCCTGACATCATCCTGACTTCTCTTCATCTCGCTCTCTGTACCCCATTCCTCAGCAAAACAGGCGGCTTTATCTGCAAAACCACATCCAGAGTCCAAGCATTTTTAAGCGTATCTACCATCCTGGTTCACGTTATCACCGTTGTCCACCTATCAGAGTCATCCTCTAACGGGTCTCCTTACTTCCTCCGTGTTTAGACTGTTCACAGCAACCAGAGCCTCCCTTCAAAATTGTAAGCTAGATCATGTCACTTCTCAGCCAGAAATTCTCCAGTGCTTTCCCATCTCACTCAGCAGAAAAAAACATTCCTTGTATGGGACTACAAGAAACTGCATTATCTGCTGTCCTCCCACAAACCACTTCTCTGACCTCATCTCCTTCTCCTTTCCCCTGTTTCAGCCACATGTCCTATTTTTGTGTTTTTTTCCAACACTTTTTAATCCTTTGCCACATTGTTTAACTTGTTCTCTCATGGCCTAAGGTGATCTATTCCCAGATAAATTACCTCCTGGACGCCATCTGTGGCCACCCTGTGTAACCAGCAACTATCCTTTCGCACCCTGTCCCAACACTCGGTAACCCTACTACTCCGCATTAATCTTCCACAGTAGCATGTGCCAGCACTTGGCATACTATCTACTGAGTTAGCCAAAAAAATCCATTTAGTATTTCCATAAAATAAAAAGCACATTTCTCGTTTTCATCAACTTTATTGATTTAGATATTCTAAGTATGTCGGCTATCTCTCCCTATTGGCTTCTAGTGGGTAGAGGCCAGAGGTGCTGCTAAACATCTTTCAATGCATAAGGCAGCCCCATAGCAAAGAATAATTTGCCCAAAACGTCAATCTTGCCCAAATGTACTAAGAAACTTTGCAAACCACTTTTGACACGTTTGATCAGTCACAGCACCTTCTCTATACACTGCACCAATCTGTTTTTGCATTTCACTTGTATTTTTACCTGTCTTGAAATAATAAAGCATAATATGATGAAAATGTCATATATCTTCTTCCATCTTCAATATTAAATGGTTGCACAAAAATTCACCAATTTCAGTTAAGTTTTTTTTTAATGCGTGCTAAAACAACAGCTGTCACAGTACAATCTAACAAAATTGTTTTGAATGAAGTTAAAGACAACTAAGCACTACTAGAGCCATCATATGAAAAAACCTAAACAAAAATTTTGGCCAACCCAATATTTAATTAATTGCTTTTCCTCCTACCCCATTAAAATATAAGTTCCACAAAGCCAGGAAATTTGCATGTTTTATTCAAGGTTCTACCCACAGAGCCTAAAACAGTGCCTGGAACAAATTATACACCCAACAGAGAGTTCCTCAATAAATGAACAAAGCAACAACAAAAAGAATTTCTCTGTAAGTAATGCTTCTTCAATTCCCTTTCCTTGTGTAAGTAAAAAAAAATATATATATATATACATATGCATAAAACTGACTCATCCCCCTGAGCAGTGTGGTTTGATTGGCTGGGCATCATTCCTCAAAGTGAAAGCTTGAAGGTTCGATTCTTGGTCAGGATACATGGCTGAGTTGCAAGTCCCTGGTCAAGGTGCATGAGAACCAACTAATCATTCTTTCTCACATCAATGCTTCTTTCCTTCCCCTTTCTCCCTACCTTCCCCTCTCTCTAAAAATAAACAAGTAAACTCTTTTTAAAACACCGATTCACCATTGCACTGAGTGTTTCCTCCCAGTCAGGCCGCTCTCGAGGGTGCACGTTTCTGTGCAGTTCGGGAACGAAATCGTCCTCTTCAGAATGTGCTGAGGACTTCATCTTCCTAGAAATCAAAACATGAAAGATTTTGATGAGAATTTATAGTTCTATGAAGTCTTTCCAATGACCACAATTCAAAGGACAGAAAATCACATGAGATTTAAAGCTTAGTTAAAAGAGGTTTGGTGATCATTACTGTTCCTTCATTTCTAGTTTTCAGAGACCTTTCCTGATACACCGAATACCTACTTTCATTCCAGAAGATAAAACTAAGGTTTATTACTAGCTCACCTTTATGGTCTGTGGTAATTATTATTGAAGGACTAATTTTATCAGTTCAAGGCAGCCAGAACCTTGAAAAGATTTGCAACAGCCATCAATATTTATAACATCAGGGTAAGCATTAGTAACATTCCAGGATGAAGGAAGAGGTACGATGCTTCTACTTCCAACTTATAGAGGAAGTATATTAGATTAGCACTCTCAAGGGGAACAACCATGAATATTAGCCAAAACATATAAAATCACTTGTCTGAGGCACAGAAAACAATCAATACAAATAGAATTTCTGGGACTACATTCTTAAAGAGAAGAAAACCCATGAAGCAAATTCCATGTGTAATCATTCTTTTGGTAAAATAGACTTTCTAAATCAATTATGAAAACTAGGAGCCCAGCATAATATTGCAGTTTAACTAAGCTGGAGAGGCAGAGGTTGGACACTGGGGCTGCCAAAGCAGATGGGGACTCGGGAAAAAAATGACAAAAATCTACATGGAAATTCCCCTCACACTGTTAGCCAATTCCTCAGCTTACATGTATGTAGAACAAGATGCCAAGAAGCTCCTCAAAAAACAGCTAATGGACAACTAACGAGCCAAGCAGGTATTTTACAGCCTTGCTGAGCTGAGGAATGGAGGCTGGCAAGCAAGCACTGCCCAAAATGAATAGGGTCACTGAAAAAAAAAAAAAAAACAGGCAAATACCTGGACTCTCAACTGAGACTCCAGAGAAGCCAGGCCTTAGGACTAAGGACAAAAGAGGAACAGACACGCTCAAACAAAGCCTAAAACCAAGCCTTTACAGACCAGAACTGCCAAGAGCAAACTTAACTCTCTTCAGAGAAAAATCATGTTCTACAGAGCCCTTGCACATTTTTCATTCACCATGTGTGGTATCCAATAAACATTATACAGTATGCTTTAAAACACCAGGAACAAATGGATAAAAATTGGAAAAAATGTAGTCAAATCAGAGAAAGACTCATATTTGATCTATTTTAGAATTTTCAGAAAGGGACTTAAAAATGGCCATAATGGATTTATGGCTATTGAGTATGAGGTAGAAAGCTATTAAATGCATCACTCCAAGGCTTTAAAACAAGAAAGATAATCTATGAAATCATAACTTTGCTTGAATCCATAAGAAAACTGAGGTCTTGGGGCAACCAATTACTAGCCAAACTAAAGAAAGACAGGAATACCCAAGATGTCCTAAAGCACAAGCAATAAGTTACCTAGGGCAAGGAAGGAATAGAACAGAGATACACAAGCTGCTAAGAAAAATCCAGTTAAGTTTCTGTCAAGCTACTAAAACTATTTATAATTAATATGTTCAGAAAAATATGTTCATATAAAAACATGAAAAATAAAGAACTACAACAGAAAATTGTAATCCATGAAAAACAACCAAATGTTCATCCTAAAAATTCAAAACAAAATACCCAAAGTTAAGAAGTCAATGGGCAGGTGCAACAGAACAATGGGCATGGCTGAAGAAAATACACTGAAGAACAGAGAAAGAAGGAACAGATGCACAAAACAGCATAATATGCAACAGACTTGGTGAAAAGCCTCAAATATGACTAAACTAGCTGCTCAAAGATGAGAAATATGAAAGAAAGGGACAAGAGCAGCATTTGAAAAATGATGACTGGAAACTTTTCAAAACTGATTGAAAGCCATCCAACTACAGATTCAAGAAGTCCTTAAATAGGATTTTTTTAAAAAACAACAAACCACCTAGGCATATTATACTCACACTACTATTAAAAAACTAATAAATTCTTTAAAACAGCCAGGGAATAAATGCCAAGTTGACTTCGAAGGGGACAAAATAACAATATGAGAGAATATTTCAATGGAAACAAGAATATAATAGACTAAATTTTCTACTTAATAAAAGTAAAAGATACTGCCAACCTAGAATCCTCTACTACACAAATTCATACCTTTAAAAAGCAGGTAATATAAGTTATTTTCAAACAAAAGATGAATGAAATTGCCACCAGGAGATCTGCAAAAAAAGGTAGTGTTCTTCCCATTGAAAGAAACTGATCCCAGAACTACAGAAATGAATAAAGAGTATAAAGAGGATGAAATATAGAAAAATTTAAGTAAATACTGACATAAAAGTAACATACACAAAAAAATAACATTCGATGAGGTTTATAATAAACATAAGACACAGAAATAGGAAAAGCACATGCAAACGATATCGAACGGTATGAGTCATCTATTGTTTGGGAGGGGAAGTGAGTCCCATCTGAAAGAATGCAGTAAGTCAAAGATAAGGTTGCAATTCTATGGTAACCAGTAAAAGAATAATAAATGAGTAGATGACTAAAATGCTGATAGAAATGTTTAAAAAATAAAACACAGTTGATTAATCCAAAAGAAAGCAGTAAAGAATAAAGGAATAAACAAGGCAAATAAAAAGTTAAGATGATAAACTTCAATCCAAGTATATTACTATAATTTTTTAAGTGAACAGAATAGTAGGTAAGCATGTGGAGAAACTGGAACCCTTACTCATTGCTGGTAAAAATTTAAATGTTGCAACCACGTAGAAAACAGTTTGGCAGTTTCTCAAAATGTTAAACACACAAATACCATATGATCCAGCAATTCAATTCCTAGGTATTTAGTCAAGAGAAATAAAAACATATCCACCAATAAACTTGTACCAAGATTATTCATTATATGGGTGGGCTGGGATGGGAGTAGAAGACAGAAAACTGTACTTGAACAATTAAAATTTTAAAAAGAGATTATTCATCATATTAGCCTAAAAGTGTAAACAACCAAAATGCCCTACAACTGAAAAATGAAGAAACAAAATGTATAGGTCCATACAATAAGATATTATCTAGACACTAAAATAATGACTGGAATGCTGATTCATACTATCCATGGATGAATAGTAAAAGCATCATGCTAAATGAAGTAAGTCAGACACAAAGGGCTACATACTAATATGATTCCATATACACAAAATGTCCAGATTAGTATATCCATAGAGACAGAAAGCATATTGATAATTGCCAGGGACTCAGGGTAGGAGTACACAGAGTTTTATTACTAGTGGGTAAGAGATATCCTTCTGGAATGTTAAAAAATTAGATAGTGGTAGTAGTTGTATAACTTTGCGAATATACTAAAAACCACTTAATGGTGTGCTTTAAAAAAGTGAATGTTATGTGTGCGAATTATATCTCAGAAAACAAGTAAATGGACTAAAACGACCCATTAAAATAGATAAAGGAGTACACTTCACAATGATAAAGCTGTCAAACCATCAGGGTGATATAATAGAATCTATATGCAACAAATAACACAGCTTCAAAATACATAAAACCAATCTGAAAGAACTAAAAGAAAAAGAGATAAATCCACAATTAGGGCTGTAGATTTTTTTAAAGATTTTATTTATTTATCTTTAGAAGGAAAGGGAAGGAGAGAGAGAGAGAGACACATCAATGTATGGTTGCCTTTCATGCGTCCCCTGCTGGGAATTGGCCTGCAGGGAACTGGCCTGCAACCCAGGAATGTGCTCTGATCGGGAATCAAACCACGACTGTCTGGTTAGGGCTGTAGATTTTAAGAAACATATCTCAGTAACTGACAAAATAATCAGACAGAAAAAGTCATAAATATAAAAAACATTTGAAACCAATATATCAACCTGAACTAATATAGAACATTAAACCCAACAACTACAGAATATACATTTTTTTCAAGTACATATGAAACATTTACCAAGAGACCACACATAGACAATGAAGTAAATCTCAATAGAGAATTTAAATTATGAATAAAGTGTTTTGTGCCAACCATAAAATTACACTAAAAATCAATTACTGAACAATAACTACAAATTCTCCCACATATTTGGAAATTAAGAAACACATCTCTGAATAACTCTTGAGTCAAACACATACTACCACCATGGAAATTATAAAATATTTGGAACCAAATGATAATAAATATACAGCAGATTAAAATGTGTGAATATAACTAAAACAGAGGAAAATCCATACCCTACTATTGGAAATAAGACAAGTTAAAAAATAAATGTTCTAAGCTACCATCACAAAAAGAATTTCAAATTAACACAAGAAAAACAGAAAGAAGAAGAAATTTTAAATATATGAAATTAATAGAAAGCAGGTACATGATAGAGAAAAGTCAAAGCCAAAAGCATAACCCCCAGGAGAAGATTCATCGAGAGAAGACACATAAAAATGAAAAGGGAGATATATGCAACTAGAAAGCCTACATACATTAAAAAGATTCTGAGGACATTAAGAACAACTTTTTCCCCATAGAGCTGTGAATTCAGTTGAAACAAAAAATTCCTTGCAGAACACAACTTACCAAAACTGAAACAGGGAACCAAAAACTGTAAGTTCTTATAACTATTAAAGAAATTGAATTCGTAAGAAAACTCCAACCCAAATGGATTCTTTGGTGAATTATTTCAAACATTCAAGGAATAAATAATAACAATCTTAAATACATTCTTCCAGGATATAAAAGTAAAAGGAAGACCTCCAGCTTGTTCCATGAGGCCAGGACAACCTTCGTAACAAAAGCTGACAAAGACATCACTAGGAGGCGAAATCCTAAGTCAGCATCATAAACACAGCTGCAGAACTCCTAAACAAGATAAGAGCAAATCAAACCCACTGGTATACCAAAAGGACACAGAGTGACCAAGTGGGTTTTAGTCTAAAGCGAAAGTTATTTTAATACTCTAAAATCAATCCCTGTAAAGTGACCATGT